CTATGATATACTGTATATGTGATAGATATGTGACTATCCCAGTTTCATAGAAAAAAAGTATCAGGGAAAAACATGAATCTCACGACTGGTGAACATGTGCATGCTGTAACTGACTGTATTTGCATATTATTCTTAAGATGGGTGTATAGAAAGTATACATTAAATGAGTGAATTCAACCTAGATTGGTTTATCAATATACATTTTTCCACTCCCTCAAAAACCAGTGACATCAAAAGAATAAAAATATTTAGCTATTTAAAACTAAAATCTGTATGTACAAATACATTAGCTCTGAAATTACCGTAAACAAGCATCCAAAATTTTAAATTTTTTATTTTTTAAAAAGTACCAAGACAAAGCATTAATTGATTAACAATGGAAACAATGTACGACATTAGGCATTCTTTATTACACTGAGAACAGATAAATGAGGTGTAAATATCCCAAAGTAAAGACAATTCAAGCTCATGTTTCGCAGTAGGTCCATGTGCGATGCTAAGAATGGTCAGACACAGGCACAGAGCTGGCCGCGAGCAAGCTGTCAGCACACTTGCTTTAGAAGCCACTTCTTAACTCATGAGGGGCAGATGTAACCAAAAGGTGAAAATCTTAATTAGACAAGAATAATTTGAGCTCTTTACAAGATTCCTTGTTAATTCCTTAGGTTAAAGGTAAGGCCTAGAAGTTGTGGAAAGCATAAATAAAAGAAGCAGAAAACTTAAAAGTTAAAATTAGTAATTCTTAAAATTTTAAATTAGTAATTCAAAAATCTAGTTGTTTTTTTTTTTTTTCAAGCTCTCTAGAAAAGAAAGCTACTTTAAAAAGTTGTGCCTTCATAGCCGGCCGTATGTTTTGTATATTTTTCTAATCTTCAATAATCTACAAAGTAGCTATCAATCCCATCATTTTATAATTAAATATTCAGACACTATAAAAAATTGAATCTCACGCTGGGAGTAGCAATACATGCTTTTAATACCAACATTTGGGAGGCAGAGGCAGGTGGATCTCTGTGAATTCAAGGCCACCTAATCTATATAGTGAGTTCCAGGATAGCCAGGGCTACGTAGAGAAACCCTGTCTCCAAAAAACCCAACAAAATATTTGAATCATTTGTCCACTGCCACACAGCTTGAAAGTGGTAGACTTGTCCATAAAGTTTTGAGTTTTACACAAGTAGTTTTCCACTCCCAAGAAGCAAACTCAAACACACAAACTGGGTAACATTTTTTTGACCAGAAATAAAAATTAACCTCAATTTACATACAAAAAAGCTTACCTCAAAGAAAATGAATTTTGATGAGTAATGCATCCTAAAACTCCATTTCACAATGTCTAATAGAAGCTAAGTAATTACTTCAAGAACTTTTGGATCCAATATAAATATTAAAAGACTATGATTACATTTTAACTTTAAGTTACAATGAAGCATATAAAACCTATGCTTCTACAGAAACAGCATTTTCTCCAGTCCAGTCAATTCTATCTCTCACCACTAGGGAGAGCTACAACTCAGGAAAAGATTTTTACACACCCCAACATTACTAACCGTCCCCACCTTCTTACAAAACACATTTTTACTGGCTTTCTTATTAAAAATACACTTTAACTAACTGATAAGAATACTGCAACTCTAGACCCTTCAAATAATAAGGCTCATTAACATAGCATACTATATTTAATGTTTCTTTTGATCACACTGAATTCCACTGTTTTCTTCTTTCCCTCCCCTTTAGACGTTGAGGAAGGGTCTTCCTCCTGTTTTACAGACCGGCTGGGGCAACCGCCATGTGTTCCCTAAGTGCTTACTGCTGCACTAATGGAGGAACACTGATCCATGTGTTCAACTTCACAGTCACAAAGGTCTCGTTAGATGACGGCACGTACAGCAAACTTACTGACTCTGGTTTACCAGAGAACATCTCAGATCAGGCATGTGATCTCCTGGCTGGTGAAATGGACAGAGCACACGAGTGGCTCGGCCAATGTGTGTTTACAGTAGAGTCCCTCTTCCGTGACCTGACTGGGAGAGGAACTAGACAACTACAAGGAAGAAACACTGGGACCAGAAGTGTGCATAACAGGAGGCTCAGGCTCCATTAGGCTGTTGCTCTGTTATGCATGTATTGAAACCTGACCCTCCACACACCAGATAATATCCTACTTGAGCCGTCTCCCGAGTCCTCCATTAAAGTTTTGATCAGGAAAGGAGCTTAAAAGACTGCTCTTTAATATTCCTGACTAAGAAATTATGTTTTGGCTACAAAAACAAATTAATATCATCCTTTAAATAAGAATCTGGTTTACAGCTCAACTTAATTTTTTTTCTTATTTTCCAATCTGAAATGGGAACTACTACACAAACAAAAACTGGGGTGAAGGGTCACAGGGAACAAACTGTACCCAATAATTCACAAAAAAAGGGATCATGCGACAATAACCACAGCACATTTCATAAACATATAGGATAAATAAATACTGATGTGTATTTTAAAAGTAGTTACTGATTAAAAGATGCTACCTTAAAGCCAGGAGCAGGGACACACAAAACTGTAGACCCAGCTACTTAGGGAGGCTGAGGCAAGAGGATTATGTGCCTAGGAACTCCAGGACAGCCTGGGCTGCACAGCAAGACTCCCTCTCAAAAGAAACGGGCAGGGGAGACTATGGGAATAGCTCCATTACGAGCTTGACTTTGATACTAAAACCCATACAAAATGCCGGTGCTGGGGAGGCAGAGAGAGGCTTATTTGGTGAACTTGAAGCCAGTAAGAGCCCTATCTCAAGAACAAGATAGAAAGCATCCAAGAACAAGATGGAAACTGTCCTCTCTCCACACGCAATGGCATGTACATGCATACATGCGCCATCACGCATGTGAGCGAGCATGCACACGTACAACACCCTAGAAAACTCCTTTAAGTGTTCCATTCACTACGAACTTGAAAACCTCGAGTTTGATCTGTGAAAGTCAATTTCTCTGAGTCATATCACCAGGGCATGTTTTTACAACGATGCATTTACACAGTAAAAATTAATTTCTACAGGTAAATTTCAGTAAAAAAATTGGTGTTTTATGAGATAAGTAATAAAAATAGTTGATCACAACTTACATGGGATAATTAAGATTTTGTGTATTTAACATATTTGAAGAGAATAAAGCCAGCCAGCATATTTTATTGTTCTTTTCTTCTTGTGTTCGCTTCCTCCCCTGAATGATTTTTAGCAATTTCAGCTATTCGGAATAGCAAATTGCCAAAATATGTTTCTGGACTTAAATGTATTTTATATTAAAAGAATTACAAACATAATCTTTTACTTGAGAAATCCATATCCCAATATAGAAGAACACCTAATATATATCTTTATTTTGTATTCTATTTAAAGTTTACCATTTTAAGATTTAGTGTGTACCTCTATTGATCTTTAAAATACCTCTTGCAGTCAAATATAGTAATATCATATAGTTTTCCTTTTTTTTTTTTTTTTCCTTTTGGTTTTTCAAACAGGATTTCTCTGTGTAGCATTGGCTGTCCTAAATCTCACTCTGTAGACCAGGTGAGGCTCGAACTCACATAGATCTCCCTGCCTCTGACTCCAGAGTGCTGGAATTAAAGGTATGTGCAACTACACCCAGCTCAATTTTCCGTTAAAAAAAAAAAAAAAGAACTTGAGCCTCTTGGTACATTAGTTTATAACCCAGTCTTCACACATGTGGAGCTATTGTTTCTTTATCCTAAGATTGAATAATAAAAGCCCCTTCTTATACAAATATAAAACTGGTTTAACATGCTTTTCTCATGAAAGAGTTTGAATTTAACTCACTAAGCCTCCAGCGAGTCAAATGAAGAGATTTCACAGGTAAAAGGAACCGTGAGTGACAGAGGGTCTTCTTCCCCCGGGGATCCACAGCATGATATGAACATGTTAGCTTTCAAGTCTAACTAAGCAAGTCTGAGTTGGTGTCACTTTTCCAAGTCTAATGTATATACAACTCTACCCCTACAGAGGTCATATTTGTTAATGTGGGTGAGACTTTAACATGCTGGCAATGCTTCATATCAGCCATCAAAGCTCCCCAACTATTTCTGGACCTGATACCTGATCTTGCTTCTACTCTTCTCGACACTTGAAACCTAAAAATGGTCCAAGTCATTGCTGGGAAAAGCTTGAGCTTCCTTTTAGCGCTGAGATACAAAGCAAACTCAAGCATAGAAGAGAGGAACGAGATACAGAAAGTTTTACAAGCAGGTCGCACGTGAGTCTCAGAGTTTTGAGGACAGTGATGAGAAGACAGTGGTAACGCCAATCAGAAAGGCTAACATTTAGGGAGAAATCTTTAATCTTGCCAGCAACTCACAAACCTTCCAGCTGAGGAAACAACAGAAGCCAGTTCATCATCTGAGGGCTTGTAACTGGGAGGGCGAGGGCTTCTACCCAAGTCGTCTGTGTGTGTCCACGTCCGTCCAGAGGACGTCAGACTCCCTAGAGCCAGTCACAGCCATTTGTTGCAGCACCCAGTGAGGGAAAGCAACTCCAGTCTTCCGAGAGAGCCGCAGCGCTTCACCCTATGAGCCACCCAGCTCTCCAGCCCCTAGCGCCTAGACTCTTAGCCGTTACAGTGTCGCTGCCCGTTGTGTCTAATCCCTGGTTAGAAAGCATTTCTTTAACACCACTGCACATCTCTTAGCCTCTTGGGATTCCAGTACATGCAAGTATTTACTAGGTAAGAAACAGCATGCTAGATGCTGAAGAGATCAATGACTTTGCCCTCAGGTCCCAAACAGAACACAGTGTATATACAGTTTGTCAGGAAAGACTTTTACAGTTTTATCAAAACTATTTTATAAGCAATTGTTATTGACAAATCTTCTAAAAACCTACAAATTCCCCTTTAAGTTTTCATAAAGCAACATTTCTTCCATCACCAATCTGCTCATATACTTTAATAATACAGCAAGGTAAAAAAAAGTATGAGAAATATTTGTCATTAGCTTACATTCTCAATGACAAATGTCCACTCTTTGTCTTCAAATTCTTCTGCATGAGGATCCTGCAACAAAAGCAAATTATGAAAAGTAAAAAACAAAGAAACAAAAAACTTGTGTTTAATCAAATCGATACACTCAAAAAAATACAAATGGGTGTTTATAATTTTACTAGCTTTTTAAAAGAAAGAAGCAAAATAACCTTTAAAAAAAAACTGTCAAAGTAACTGCTCTAAATCTAGATCATTATTTTATACTAATAAAGTCAGCTTTTGTTGACACATCTCTTCCAGCACTGCACCTATGACAAGACAAAAAGATTATGAAATCCCTTGGAATACTTAAAAGTTTCAGAGGTTTACAATACATTTCATCTTGTGGAAATTAACAAGGAAAGCTTCATGAAAGAAAATACCCAGACTCAGCAAAACCGTGTGCAATTTCTATAAATATTAGAACAAGTAAAGGCAACAAAGTGTGGGGCACACAGAGCAAAGCACTAACCACCTCTGCTTCCTGACTGTGGAAGCAGGCGGCCACTACCTCAAGCTCCTGCCCCAGGCCTTCCCCACCACAACACACAAGTTCTCCTTCAAGTTGCTTGTGCATATGTTATCACAATAGAAGGAAAAGAAACTAAATACTGGAATGTTTACGCTGTAAATTTTTAATATAGTAATTGGCATTCAAAAATTTTATAAAGAAAAATAGCTCAGTAACTTAAAAAAAATAAAGTAGTAGGCTCTACTGTATTTTTTGAATGTATTCAAGTTCAAGTCTGTGTGTGTGAGAAGTAGGGTAGGTGTGGGGACATACATAGGACCACAGTGTTTCAGCAGGTCTGCCATGCCCCACACCACAGGTGGGGGAAGACGCCCACACACCTGACCTCCAGCTCACAGGCAGGCCGGACACACAGACAGCCCCCAGGAGGAGGAAGACAGAGCCCTGCAAACCCTCATGCCATCCACAGACCTGCCCTCGGGGGCAAGGCACGGGGGAGTCACTCAGGGACCCACCAGCCGTGTGGAGCCACCACCAAGTGTGGGTATGTGATGGGAAGATGGGAAAGAAAGAAGTGGAGCAGCTTGAGTATTAGGACGAGGAAACGGAACTGGAGGCTGGAGAGAAACAGCCTGTTGTGAGTGGCCACCCCGGCCACCTGAGGCCATGGTTAGGCCCCAGCCCAAGCTGCTGTGAGAGCCATGTCCGGCGCAGGCCTCGAAGACTGTCAGGGTTCACAGTTGATGTTGTGGTTCACATTACCACTAGAGGGCACAGGGACGTCTGTGGTCCAGGGCAGGACAGAACTGGCTAAGCCCCACTGGTTGCAGTGCTCTGGAGACCTGGCCCCACTCTCACCAGTGGCAGCACTCAAAAGAGCAGACAGGAGAGCAGACCTTGTGCCTCCACCGGGCAATACAGTGGAGCTGGCCTTGGTGGCAGGGGTGTGGGTGAGCCAGCCCTGGGTGTGAGCATGGGAGAGCTGACCCCACCGCTCATGTGCCATGGGTGGCACAGCACAGAGGGGATGATCCCCCACTGCCCCTTGCCACCTCCACTGAGCTATCCTTGCAACTCGCCTGGGAATCAAAATAGTGCTGGCCCTGGCCAAGGAGGCTCAAGTGAGCCAACCACTTGCCTGCTGTGAGGTCGTGTGGGTATGGGGGTGATGCCCTCCCCCACATCAGTCCCTCACCCCCTGGCCCTAAGGGCATGAGAGCAGAGACCTGGCCCTGCACCCTCACTGACTGTAGCACTCAGGAGAGCAGCCCTGCATCTCCCCTGGGGAACATAGTAGAGCTGGCCCAGACGGCAAAGGCAAAGTGAACCAGGCCCCAGACTGTGAGAGCAGGAGGGCTGCCCAGCCCTGTGAATTGCTGAGCATGCAAGACTCTGGCTCAATCCAGAGTGCCCTGAACACAATCCCAAACTTCTCCGCTACCTCACTTCACTCATTCTGTATGTCATGGCATGGTGGCACACGCATACAGCTAAGCTGTATTGGCACACTGCTTTGATGAGTAAATTCATATTGGTAAGCTAAACACCCAACACAGTTTTCTTGGTGTCAGTGGCATGGGAGGTGGAACATGACTGGGAAATGAAAGCTGAAAGTTCTACTTGCTACTTTTTTCCATTTGGGCTGCCCCATCCCACCACCCTCCTGCCTTTTTGTTGTCTTCTTTGTCTGTTGTTTTACGAGTGCAGTACACTTAGCACCAAAGTAAGACATCTACTGAGTGTACAGCGTGTCCCAGCGACGCGTGAGACACTGTTTTATTAGCATTTAACTGAGAGAAACCTGAAATGCAGATGTAGCCCCTCCCAGCACAATGGCAGGGTTGTACTGGAGCTCCAGATCCATCCGACTTTTATCCACTTGGGAGGTTTAGCCACTGAACCCCCAGTCTCAAGAAATGTGTGTGGCTCATAACAGCCTCTCAGGGACCCCAGAACAATGTCTTGATGTAGCAATATAATTCAGTATTTAAAGAAAATAAACACTTTTAAAACATAAATGATTAAGTACACCTAAAACAACTTAGTTTATGGAATAATTTTACTGGGGCCAAGAAATAACTTGAAGGAAATTTCAGGAAAGATATGAAAGCAGCTACAACATTTCGATCATTTCTCAGGCACTTTAAAGTAGATGTCTATGCAATTGTCGTATTAATATGACCAGACAAAATATTTGTAATTAATTAAACCTTCTTTACTTACCTCTAACTGTTGTCAACTTTCTTACCTCAGTTCTAATGGTATAAAGAGCCATTTCCCTTCTGAAAATATGAATTTTTCTTTACTAGCCATATCTATTTTCAATTTAATTGAAATTTCAAAAACAAGCATGTAACCTAAAGAAGTCAACTTTTAGTTAAATTACAGACATGAAACACACTGATAAATTTCTTAAAAAGTATTTCTCAGGGAGATGGTTCAACAGTTAAATGCACTGATTGCTCTTCCAAGGAACCCAGGTTCAATTCCCAGCAACCATGAGGCAGCTCACAACCATCTATAACTTAAGGTCCAGGAGATCGAAACCCTCTTCTGGCCTTCTCAGCACCAGGCACGCACTCATGCAGACACACATGCAGACAAACATCCATATATATATTATGTCATATAATAATATATTATTATATTACATATAAGATATTATTAAAAATATTTAGGGAGCCTGGAGTGGTACCTCAACAGGTAAAAGCACTGGCTGCTGTTCTTCCAGAGGACCTAAATAACGGTCTCAACACCCACATGGTACCTCGGACCATCTGTAACTCCAGTTCCCGGGTATTCATGCCTTCTACAGGCAACAAACACATGTGGTGCACAGAGCTAGAGAGAAAACACCCATACACACAAAAATAAACAAATCTACACAATAAATAATCTGAAAAGCATTTCTCTGTGAGTTGACACATGTGAATGCCCCACTGGCAACAAAGGGACCCACAGCAGCCCTTTCCTTTTTTAATTTCAAACTTAAGTCAACTGCGAAATTTGACAGAAGGGAAAAGTAAGAGGAATACTTAAGTGCTGTTCAAAAAACAAGATCCAAAAATCACCATAAAAAAATAAAGGTGTTTCATTCTGGTGCTTCTCCGCTTTTGTTTTCCTACCCGAATTCTGGGTAATGTGGAAGCTGAAGGATCCGCTGCAAATGCTCATTCAAATACTGGATAGGCTTCAAGGTTGGCCCAATAATACAACTGAGTAATGTTTGATCCTGGCAACCAGGGAACGGGGGTACGGGGCATTTCCCTAGGTCTTGATAATCAAAGGCATAAAAGCTAAGTGAGGAGTGTGTATATATATATATATACATACACATATATATATATATATATATGCTCACAGCGGAACTCGAAAACCTCACTTAAGTCCTAATCTTTCAAGCAACAACTTTTAATAGCTTTTTTCAACTCAGAATCATTCTGTCAGTTCCCCAAAGAAAGAGCTATGAACTATGTTTCAGCTGCATGCTAATCCCTTGTGCTCTGCCATTAAAAATAAATTTGAAACACTGTACAACTTCATACACATTAGGTTTTACCAATATGAGCAGACCAAATCAAGATATGTACTTGATGAGGCATATCGGAGAGCTTGCTGTTACAGGAGACAGTCAGAAGCCAGTACTGCAGAGAGTGCAGTACAGCACGGGGCAGGGGTTCTCAGCTTCCTAACCCGGGGACCACTTAATACAGCTCCTCATGCTCTGCTGACCCCAACCATACAGTGATTTCACTGCTACTTCACAACTGTAATTCTGATACTGTTATCAACTGTAAAGTAAATATCTGATATGTGTCCCCCACAGGGGTCGCAACACACAGGTTGAGAACCGCTGGTATGGAGGAAAGAACAGCGTTAACTCATAAGGTATTTGGAAACGTTACACTCCCTACTGGTCTTAGCTTCCCTATTAGCAAAACAGAAATACTGACAGAACCTTGAGGCTGCTTTGAGAATTAAATGAACAGAGAAATTAATAAGCAGAGCCTCTGAAAGTATTGTTCTTAACTACTAAGCTTAGGTTATCATTCCAGCAGGAGAATTATGGGAAAGAAGGGCTTCACAACAGCCTCTGAGGGCAGCAGGCAGAAGGGCAATAGGGCAATTCTGACTGTCCTGGGAAAAAAAGATAAAGAGAAAAACAGCTACCGTCTCATCTCTTATTTTCTCCTAAGCAAATTAAAGAGATGATAATGACGGCGACGGTGTCGCCGCCAACAATAGGTGTACAGCACAATAAAGGGTGTGGCGCAGCACGTGCGCGTGTGTTCCTAAATACGGAGCCTAAGGAGTCATTCATGCTAACTACTCTGTCACTGAGCTGAATCACCTACTCCTATTTCTTAGCTACTTGCACCGTCACTCCTTACACACCCCTCTTTCCCTCCCTAACTCAAACTTCCCCATGTCCCAACCCTGTTTTTGAGGGAGGTCTCACTTGGCCCTAGGGTGGCCTCAGTATAGAGCAGAAAATGGCTCTGAACTCCTAAAAGCACTGGATAATAGGCAGCCCTCCCCATACCAAGCCTCTTTACTTTCTATTCTGAGACAGGGTCGCAATAATTTACTGAGGATGGCCTTGAACACACTATGTGGCTTAGGCAGGCCTTGAACTTGTGATCCTTCTCTGCCAGTCTCTGCCAGACACACTATAGGCCTGTGCCCATCAGGTTTGGCAAATGCTTGTTTTCGGATTCCACGGCTTTCCAAAAGGCTAATAACAGGCCCTACTTGCCTTATTCTTAAGAGGAGAAAGTTGGTTAGTAAATTGGCACTTAATTATCCTATGTGTTGAATATTTATATTTAAAGAAATAAGACAATTTTCAAGAAAAAAACATAAAAGACAGGCAAATGGTATATGAACATCTGTTTTTTGAATCTGCTCTTTAAAGCAGTATGTTGTTTTTAAATTATAATTCCCATAAATATCAATGTTAGTAAAATATTTTAACTAGTGGCGCTTGATAACACGTGCCTTTACTCTCAGCACCTAGGAAGCGGAGTTCAGCAGATTTCTGTGCGTTTGAGAGAAGCAAAGGGGCTATCTGTGAGACCCCGTCCAAACATAGATAATATACATATACTACATATAATCTAAATATACATTTATTATGTATAAAATATATATGTATAATAGAATATATACATATCTGTGTACTAAAAATATGTGTGTATTATTATAACCATTATACATGTGTAATATATACATGGATATGTTATAATATTATATACATAATATATTATTTTGTATATATAATAGTTATGTATGATATAGTAGAGGGTATGATATAACATAATGTCAATACGACAATACTTATACAGGGTTTACTGTGAGCACAGGAAGAAGTGGGCCCACAGGCCGTTGTGGCCCGTGAAGCACTGGGTCGCCTTTACGAGTGTAAACGGCTCCCATCCTTGAAAATGATGCAGTCAGATAAGCAGGTGAGACACAAGTGCACACAACAGGAACGGTGCGATACCCACACACAAGAGCATGTGCAGCCATAACTTATAGAGAAAGAACTGACCTTAAAAAGTGTCACAGTGATTTCAATGTTTTCAGGGACAGGCCAAACAACAACACCACGATACGGATTTTTTATTCCAGGTTGCCAGCTGTGAGCCTATGAGAATAAAAGTGAAAGCGTCGATTATGAAGTACAAAGTCATCAACCTTATTTAGCTACCAATTAAGATCTTTAGTCTCCCCTAAATAAAAATCACCAGCTAAAATAAAAGCAAACCTGGAGAAAAAAACAAGCTTTTTAAGCATTAAGCTTGGGCCAGAACAGCTCAAACAAACGAAAGCTATCTATTTATCTATAAGCAAACCATCACGCACTACCACACATGTGCACGTGTGCCACAAAATCACAAAAAGTAAGATCTCTTATGTTCTTAAAGGCTGCTATTTTTGGTGATGGAAAATTGTAAGTGGAAACAATATTTTTTTAAATATTATTTTTCTGACTGAGAAGTTTAAGGCAAGTTTATTTCTTAAAAGGAAAATCTCGGGTCTGAAGAGATGGCTCAGCAGTTAAGAGCACTGGCTGCTCTTCCGGAGGCCCTGGGTTCCATTCACAACGTCCACAAGGCGGCTCACAAGCATCTGTGACTCCCGTTCCGGGGGAGCCAACACCCTCTTCTGACCCTCACGGGCCCCAGGACTCCAGTGGCACACGACACGACGTGCAGGCAGGACACCCCCACACACAACTAAAAAAACATGAGGAAAATCCAGCAGGGTACAGCCATGTGTCAGTGGTGTCAGCAACTCAGGAGGCTGAGGGCTCCAGAATGAGGAGGAAGGTAGAGGTGGACAGAGAGGAGGAAAGAAGGGAGAGGAGGAAGAGGGAGGGTCTAACCATATACTTTGAATTTGAGTTTGTTTCCCCTGAACTGCAATGTTTCGTGCTTAGGGTAAGTGAGAGAGGACATGTTGTAGAGCTATTCCAGATTATATTTCTAAATCTTCTGATTTGGGAAGTGTTTTATTTATAAACCTTGATTACTGAAATCCCATTGGGAACTTCACCACCCAAATTTTAAAGATTGTCACCAGTTCTCCCTTGTGCCCTATTGACCAAAGTCAAGCTGAAGGGAGATGGCGCGCCAGGACAGGGCTAGGAAGCTTTCATCTTTACGTGCTGCAAAAGTGTCCGTGGATGTGCCTGAAGAAGATAATAAAAGCTAACAATTAAACAGCACTTTCTATACATCTGCTCACAGACTGTGAAAAACTCACTGCACCTGTACAACAATCCTTCCTGCAGGGCAGGAACTACCCATTCACTCACCAGTTCACTCAGTTGCTACCATCTGCCATGCACTGTCCTGGGCTATAGAGTTATAGAAAATTACCTATCTGCCTTAGTGGAGTTTATGGTATAAGTAATGAGAGATGCACAAATTATTCAGATTACCTAAGTATGTTATGTTTTGCATGTGTGTCATGGGAGAATATAAAACAGAGAATAAAGATATAGAGGTCAAAAGAAAGTAGATCTTTCCAGGGCAGTGAGAGGTAGTTTCAGGAGAGCAGAGACACTTCAGGGAAGGAAGGAGGAGGATGAAATCAGACATACAAACACACGAAAAAGCTTTCTGAGGTGGGAACAAGCGGCACTGGAGTGCATCCACATTTCTAACAAGGTAACATGATTGGAGCAGAGTGGCCAAGGAGCGGAGGAGGGCATGATGCCTAGCATGATGTGGACCTAGCCAGACACAAGATACTCATTCTTACCCTGCATGAGCCATGAAGCCACTGGAAGCGTTTACACAAAGGAACAATGATCTAAGCTGTGTTTCAGTCGACTCATTTTAGGCAATGAGGCTAAATGAGCAGGCTTCAGACAGAACAGAGGAAACAGCTAGGAAGGATTAAGAGGGCACTGAAACAGCCCGGAGGAGAGCAGAGGGAGACTTGGCCAGGGGTGGCAGGAAGCAACACAGAGCATTCAGATTATGGTGTACTGTTTGTATTTTACAGGTAGGACAATCTGCTGCCTTATGTATGAAAGTAGCTAAAGCTGTCTTACCCCTGAGGAACAAAATAAGCTGCTGTTAGTGTATACGAGGCAAGGCCAAGTTCAGGAGCTCTGTGTTATACACATCAAATCTCAGTTGCTATCAGACACAGAAGTACTGGTGTTCAAATAGGAAGCTCAATCGAAGTGTCTGTTACAAATTTGGGATTATTAGCAAAACATGATACTGAAATCTTAAGACTGGGTATGATCCTAGCACAGTGAGAACAGATAAGGAATAAGTCTGGATTGGGATGTAGCTCAACAACAGACAACTTTCCTGGTATGAACTAGGCCCTGGGAGTTGCAGGATAGTCTGGACCAAGACCTGGGGTATAATATGAACAAGACAAGGAAATGAAACAAAATCAGCAAAGGTGTGTCAGGAGAGTAAAGAAAAAGCAGGAGCGTGAGGTACCCTAGCCACATTGTAAACAAAGTACCCAATGTTGGTATGTTGGTAACAGAAGAAAGAGCAAAAGGCCTAGAAATGACAACTGGACTCAACAAAAGAGAGCCATTAACAAAGTCAGAAGCAGTTTCAGTGCAGTAGAGTTCAGAGAAAAGGCCAGAATGGAATGAGTTCAGAAAACAAGGGAAGAAAGAAATGGAAAATATTACATATGAGAGCACACTTGACTACTCTGAGGGAAACAAGTTATCCACAGTTGAAGAAATAACATCTGAAGAGAATTTGTAAAGAAGGCAAAAAGATGCTTATGCAAATGCCAATAACCAGTTAAAGGGGAAGATACAGACAACACTGAGACAGCTGAGGTTTTTGTTGCTGTTTTTCTTTGTTTTCCAGAATCCAAGGCCACTTTCCCATATTAACAGGCATGACACTATAGTACATGCCTACAGATGCACATCAGGGAACATACTTGACAAATGAGGAAACAGGTAAATGCCTTGCCCAAGATCACAGAATTTGAACTTTACTTGGCCATGGAGATGAAAAGGAATCAAGACCATAGCGACTTGGCCCATGCAATTCTGATCGCATCTTTTTCAGTAAAAGTTTCAGCAGCAGAAACAGGTTTAAGCAGATATTTAAGTCTAACCTTACCAAAGGTTAGCCTGAGAGCATGTCTGGAGGGGGTGGAGGGAGGATTTGCCTCAACTGTGACTGACCCTATGGGCAGCACACTCTCTAGATGTGTAATGAAGAAAGCTCAGTAAGCCGCTACCAGCAAACAAGCATGAACTCCTTTATCTCTGTTCTTCACTCTAGATGTGATGTGCCCAGCTGCATGCCTTGACGTCCCCCCTAATGGCAGACTTTAACTTGGAACTGTAAAGTAAAACAAACTGGAAGGTAAAACAAACCTTTCAGAATATTTTGTGACTGTAACAGAAGTGAAGCTTGAACAGTACTAACTTTATAAAATGCATTAGACTGGGAGTCACTATACAGAATCAGAATGTTTCCCTGAGGATCTAGGGAGATGGCTCACAGGTGAAGTGCGGCTACGCAATAGTGCGGGCGGGTCTAAGAGTTCAGCAAGCAGGCGCCTAGATAAATGCCCAATGGATGTGACACCTGCCTGGAATCCCAGAACTCGGGACGAGAGCCCTGGAGCAAGCCGGCCAGCTAGCTAAGCCCAATCAGTAAGCTCTGGGGTTCAAGTGAGAGACCCTGCCTCACATTCAAGGGGAAGTACAATCCAGGAAAACGCCCTACGTGAACTCTGGCCTCCTTGTGAACATGCATACACATGCACTGTGCAGACACAACTGCTCCCATGAATTTTAAATCACACATATACAAACATGCATATACACAGAGCAAAAAGTTTCGCTAAAATTTCCAGTTTCCACTTCATTAAACTGGTGTTCTACAAATTTTAAAAGTGCATATACCCACGTTTCACGTATGTGCAATGTTTCATATGCCATCCATCAATCAATTTTACTGTTGCTAGCACACCTCCATTTTAGAAAGCCCCAAAGGCACATTCTTCCTCCTGACACAGAAGTGTTCCTGACATCTGAAAGGCTCAATCGCAAAGCAAGGTGACAGTGACAGCAAAAAATCTGGAGAGGTTTTAAAGCTCTGGTTTCCCTTTGGAATTCTCACACCTCTCTGCAAACTTCAATTTCTAGTTAGAAATTGACAACTCAAAACTAATATGCCACATTTTTTTTTGTTTATCACAATTGCTGCCTGCTACTTTCATATACACTGAAAAATTATTTATGTGTATGTTTACAAACCACTTAGAGCTTGACAAAGCCTGTGCTATAAATGTCATTACTTGAGAAAGTAGAGAAGCGTCATATTGTGTTAATTTCCCATACTATTTTAACCAAATGAATCTGCAACGAGCTCTTTAGATAGTTAACTATAAAACACACATGTACAAATGGAAAATGAGCAATTAACTGGGAATTAAACTTTAAATTAAAAAGGCAAATATGCCTTATTATTCTACTGACTAATTTAACAATCGGTATAATGATTTATCTGAATGTCAGTTTTAAATTTCCTTCTTTATTATGTGTAATTTATAAAACATTTTCATAGATGTATTATATATATATACATATATATATATATATATATGCTGTTATAAGAGTAATACTGTCAGTTCTCAAAACCTGTTACATACCTCCAATGTTCAAGGAAAAGATACAGTAAATAAAGTACAGTAACATCTGAGGGACAGGACCCCAGACTGTCCTATACGCAAAGCCCACAGGCGCTCCGTCATTATATAAATGGTGTACTGTTCGTATATGACCTCTGTATATTTGTGCATTTGCTCCCTTGCATTTTAAATCATCTCTAAAAATTTACAATATCCACTACAACGTGGGGGCTGTGTAACTACTTGCTATTTCACATTGTTTAGGGAATAATGAGGACTTTTTTTTTTTTTTTTTTTGAGACAGGTTTCACAAAGACCAAACTGGCCTGGAACGCCTGACCCTCCAGTCTCGACTTCCCAAGTACTGAGATCATAGACGACACCACCCTACCTGGCTCAGCCACAATTTCCCCCAAATATTTTCAATTCATTATTGAATCCACATGTGTGAAACTCCTAACTACCGAGATCTGACTGTATAAAGGAAAGTCTTGAACAACGTTAAGACTAAGAAACAAATAGAATAAAAAGTAATTTCTTCTAGAATATACTGGTTTCTGAGAAAATGAACCTGTAGCCTCAAGTTTGTATTTCATTAGCTAGACTCAAATAATATCTGATGTTGTATGACAAAGAATCTTCCCTTCATAAAAATTACTTCAATTGTAATATGCCATTAAATAAGAGTATTTAATATAAAAAATGACTATATTCTGAACTCACCTACAACCTGAAGTATTTTTAAGTATATTATATTTCATGATTCTTATAGAATACTTGCTAGCTAATTGCCAAAAGAAAGAAATTGCTTTCCGTGTCCACTCTAGAGCATACCCTAGGCCTCTGCTATGCTTACGTATGTATAAGATAATTACACTTACACTTGATGAACAGCTTTATCTGGTCAATTCCACAAAAGCTGAAGACACAGGAGAAGTACTATGTCCGTTTTTAGAGCTCCTCATAGGTAAATAGATACGACAGGATCCAAACCAGATCCATGCCTTGGAGAAAATGCTGTTCACAACTTGAATCAGCTTCGGTGCCTATACTGCTGTAGGAGTGGTCAGCAGCTTCTGGCGCACACGTGTGCATGTGCTAGGAATGCACACGTGTTCTAGTGTGCTAGGGGGCAATGCCACGCAAAGGTGTGTGCACACATGAAAGGAGGCTAGAGGCTGGCGCCAGCTGTCTTCCCTACCACTCTTTGCCTTTTGGCAATTTAACTTAAGAAGGTCCTATCCTACCCCCAGAGTTGCATTCCCATGGCCACGGAAACAAAAATAGTTAACAATAATGACTCTAGCAGTTAACACTGACAAAAGTTTAAAAATAAAATAGAGTGCCTAGTCAGGGGACTGAATAATTAACTTACTTGTAGTGTATTCACATTATGGAATACTAGTCAGCAATAAACTACAAAAGAAAACAAGAGCATGAACACATTGCAAAAACATGATGCTGAGCAAAGGAAACTATAAAATAGTACCGTATTATGTAAAAACTATATATAACACTATTAAAGCTCTACAGTGCTATACAAAAATACTATGGTAGCATTTTTACATGAAATTCAAAAAATAGGTAAAATTAGTCTTTACAGACAGAAAATCAAAGTAGTGCCAGCCTCTGAGGGTTGAGAACTGCCTGTACGAGAAACAGAAAATTTATGCTAATAGCGATCTACATTTTGGTAGGAATAGTCTTTAAACTGGTATGTGTTTATAGATAGTTTGTTCTACATGTAAACGATGGTGGTTTCGGTAAGAATAGCCTCCATAGGCTTATATGTGTGAATGGTAGTCATTAGGGAGCCTGGCTCCCTGGAGTAAGGTGAGGCCTTGTTGGAGGAGTACATCACTGCTGGGGCGGGCTTTGGGGTCTCAAAAGCCCAAGCTCCTTCTCCAGCACGCTATCCTGCCTGCATGCCAACATGCTCCCTGCCATGATGATGACGGCCTAAACTTCTGAAACTGTAACCCAGCCCCAACTAAGTGCTTTCTTTCATAAGAGTTGTCATGGCCATGGTGTCTTGAATAAGTCAGGTTTGGTTATATGTGGTTAGTTATGAACACTTAAGTTTTAGCTTAATAAAAACAGAAGTAGAGGCCAGGTATATAATGCCAGCACTTGGGAAGCACAAAAAAGAAGACCACAAATTCTAAGCCAGCCTAAGATACAAAATGAGTCTCAAAAACAAACAAAACCACCTTGAAAAGGTGCCTTTAATAATTTTTTTTTAATTTTCAATTACCATCTAACAAACTTTTCATAACAGAGTTCTATTTATATGAAAAAAAAAATGCTTATAGTTGTATGCTTACAAAAATAGTTATCTCCTGAACAGACTATTTAAAATAGCTATAGAACTACTGCTCTACACTTAAAATTCTGTTCTAGTCTCTGCCTACGAAACTATAGGAAAAAGTTGAAAAATCTTTGGTGTCAACGCCTTCTCTCCGGCAACCCAGTAATGAACTCAGACAACTCACCCTCCCTCAGAATGCTTAGTTCCTCCTCTTAGAATCTGAGCAAAGCAATCCTAGGTACAAGTTTGTAAGTGGTAACTGTTCAGAGCAGACTAACCTTGGAAGATTTCCTTCGGCTTCTTCTTGTCCACACTACCACCAGTTTATCTGGTTGCCTGTTAAATTTAAAAAAAAGAAGAAGAAAGAAAGAAAGCAATTAAACATAACTCATTTTAAACAAAATTATTAAAATAGTACCTTTAAAAGGACAACTGGGCTGGGAGTGTGTGCGTAGGTGAAAAGCTTTCTACACCAGCAAAACCCGAGTTCATATCCCGCACACCCAGATAGAAGGTGGCTGGAGCAGTGTGCTGTAACCCGGTGCTAAGGGCAGAAACAGGAAGACTCCCGCAGCTCATCAGGCAGTGATGGAGACATCAGAGATTGACCTCTGGTTCCTACACACCAACACAGCACAGCATGAAGGCACCCCACACACACACACACACACACACACACGCAGAAAGACAGAAGTGTCTACTATAGATTACATAAAGCAGTTAAGCTTCAGAGTTCTGTACCCAAATACAGGAGACGCTAAATTCAGATATGATCTAATTAAAATAACTAGTATTTCCTCTATAGACTTCTCTCAAACCATACACCAAGTTAACTCAGACAAACCAAGTGAAATGCAATACTTAGAATTGACTGTCACTTCAAAAAGAGAAGCAGACGCCTCTGAAAGACTCTACTAATAAAGGTATCAAAGCAGATGCTGAGATTCACAGTCAAACTTTGGGCAGAGTGCAGGGAATCTTAGGAAAGAAGGGGGAGATAGAGGGACCTGTAGGGGACTGGAGTTCCACAAGTAGAGCAAAAGAACCAAAAAAATCTGGGCACAGGGGTGTTTTTCTGAGACTGAAAAAGGACCATGCATGGAGATAACATAAAAAGCCTGCTCAGATGTAGCCCATGGCAGCTCAATCTCCAAGTGGGTTCCCTACTAAGGGGAACAAAGGTTGTCTCTATCTCAGTGGCTAGCTCTTTGATCACCTCCCCCCACCCCCCAAGGAGGGAGCAGCCTTACCAGTAGGCCACAGAGGAAGACAATGCAGCCAGTCCAGATGAGACCTGATAGGCTAGGGTCAGAAGGAAGGGGAGGAGGACCTCTCCTATCAGTGGACTGGGGAAGGGGCATGGGAGGAGAAGAAAGAGGGAGGGCAGGATTGGGAGAGGATGAGGGAAGGGGCTACAGCTGGGATACAATGTGAATAAATTGTAATAAAAAATTTTTAATGCTGAAAAAAAAAGAAAGCAGACATCTGTCTCCTACAAAATGGTGTACTTTTGGACATTACCCTTTAATTTAGAGAAAGTGACCATTAAAAAGGCGTCCAAATAGTTTGCCTATGGGTTATACCACTCATATAATAACGCGTATGGCTTTGGACCTCTCCTCCTTACCATCTGCCAATGGAAAGTCAAATAAAATAAGGAAAACTAACTTTTCCTTCATGTTTCTGGAAAACAAGAGGAATATGATTATCACCTACATTTTGATTTTTTTTTTAAAGTAGTTAAAATGTTTCCCACGCCAGGCTTGGTGACACAAGCCTACAATGCTAGATGCTCCTGAGACTGCCAGAGAAAACCTGAAGCCCAGCCCTGACCAGAGAGACTCCAGCTCAAAAGAAAATGTGAAAAGAGCCTAGAGCATTTGCCTAGCATGTGTGAAGACTTGGTAAATCCTCAGTACTGAGAAAGGAAGTTGTATGTCTTATGCATCAAAGAACACAAAGTGTAAGTAAAAATAAACCTGTAACTACATACACACAACTACACTGCAGAGGAACAGAAACATGGAAAAGCCATAAAAGAATAAAGAGAGAAAACAAAGCAGTCACTGACAATCAAGTAATTAAACTGGCAGAAGTAATTAAGCTTCTCGTTAGCAACAACAGCCCAAGAGACAAAAGAGGAGAGCAGCTGCTACCCTGACTCCCACTCACGGTGCAGGCGCACACATACACACATACACACATACATACATGCATACATACATACATGCATACATACATACACACATACATACAGACATACACACATACATGCATACATGCATACACACAAACATACACACATACACACATACACACATACATACATACATGCATACATACATACAAACATACACACATACACACATACACACATACATACATACATACACGCATACACACATACATGCATACACGCATACACACATACACACATACACGCATACATACATACAAACATACATACATACATACAGACATACATACAAACATACACACATACATACACACATACACACATACATGCATACATACATACATACATACATACAAACTTACATACATACATACATACAAACATACATACATGCATACATACATACAAACATACATACATACACACATACACACATACATACACACATACATACATACATACATACATACAAACATACAGACATACACACATACACACATACACACATACA